CGTTTTTGTGTCAATAAAAACAAGAAAAACTTGTTCTGCTCTCTGATTGGATGCTATGTTAGAGGTGGCGCTTCTTACCATGCTGTGAGTCGTAGTTGGTGGCAGTGGGTGGAGTCTGGTCCTTGTAGAGTCCCAGCAGAGAGAGGAGGGGGAGGAGCGTCTCAGCATGACCCACCAAGATGGAGGCGGGCTCTGGGGACGCGTCAGTGGACCTGACGGAGACACGATCGGTTCAATCAGTGATCGATCAAACCAAACGATTGGTGACGGCAATCGGAGCTCAGAAACTAGCACAGCCGCTCGGGGTGGTTTTTACGAAGCATCAGCTAAATGAGCTTCGCTAGCTGAAAACCACCTTCAGAGCTGAAAAACACGCCAACCATCTCTTTGTAAACAAACAACGATCGCAGGGGCCCCACCCACCTGCGAGGACGCCCGGCTCTGTCCAGCGTCCTGAAGACGTGATGGAAGAGCGGGCAGCTGGACAGGCTGTTGATCTCGTGGCCGTGCGAGCGCTTCCAGTACTGCTTCAAGTCCGACTTGTACTCCAACACCTGCAGACGGCGAGTGGGGAGAGGAAACCCACGGACCAATCAGAGAGCCGTAAACACTTACGCAGACGTGTTGCCATGAGCCGTTTGATCGCTTTACCATCGACAACCTGAGCTGAGAGCAGCATCACTAATCAATAATAATGATTGCTTCACAATGCCATCTTCACTCCCTCTCACATTCACACACTGGAGGCAGCTGCAGAGCTGCAGTGCAGCTCAGGTCCTCTCAGCTGTCTCACTGATCCCGGATCAGCCCCGGAATAACACGGAACGTTACCTTTGCGTCGCTCTCGTCAAACAGGAAGCACCACGGCGAGTGCAGGTTTTTGATGGAGAGCTCGTACGAGCACAAGAAGAACGCCGCCTCCAGCAGATCTACAGGAGGCACAGAGGGACAATCTTCATCACACAGAAACACCGCCCCCTGTGGGACAGGAAGTCCACAGAGCGGCTTATGGAGAAATTTTAAAAAGCTCAACTGCATCATGGGAGATGTAGTGTGTGTGTGTGTGTGTGTGTG